GTGTGTGTGTGTGTGTGTGTGTGTGTGTGTGTGTGTGTGTGTGTGTGTGTGTGTGCGTGCGCGCACCTGGAGAATGGTCTTAGTTGGCAGCTATTTTTGAGCAACGGGGTGAAAAGGCCAAAAAATTCCTACCTGACGAAAAATGTATTTCCATTAGACAACACACGTATAACCATTTTTTACTAACATATTGAATGGATTTTTACAATACTTTAAGTCTGACTATTTTTGCAACATGTTGTACTTCACCATAGGTTAAATTTGTGATAGTAATTTGTTTTTACTCCAAACTTTCTTTTTACACCCTGTGCTACAAAATGTGGCATGTCTTTAAAACACCTCAAGATACTCAAATGTAAAAATCAACGTGTTCAGTATTGAATTTTCTACAACTGTATGCCCTTGTGTGAATATCCAGAGTGTCCAACAACTAGGACCTTTCTCCAGCACACTCACAAACACACATACACACACACACACACAGACACACACATACACAAACACACAAACACACACATACAAACACATACACATGTGAGAGCCCTAACAGCCACGATTAGGAGACTGGTATCAAGATTCAAACAAGTCGATTCTTAAACCTTTTCTGGTGCAAAGGGGCATTTGCCATAGAAAACAAGCGATTCATAAGGTTTGAAGTTTGATCCTGTCTTTTCTTTACAACCAGTAGCAAGAACGGTATTCTAAACATTATTGAAGGCTTTAAACTTTTGAATCTGTACCTCCTCAACCTTGATTGGATGCTGGTTCTTTTTTGTGGGGTCGTTTTTTTGGGGGGTTTTTTGGTAAGTGTTGTGCAGCGCTCGCAACTGAAAACGGTCATTACACATTTTTCAGCATGTAGAAAATTTTGAATTTTGCCCAGGTGGCTGCCGAAGCCTACTCTTATCGATTTTGGACCATCAAGGGTTTTTTTAAAGTGCGAAACTTGCACACGAGACCTCCGAGATTTTTCGCCCTTGTCCGAGAAGGTTAGGTGTAGATCTTTCCTACCTTAAGATCAGGTGGAAGACTGAAAGACAGCAGTAAGAAGGAGCCAAGTAATAGCATTAGAACGGCTGCAGAAAGAGTCAGGAGCTCAGAGGAGGGGGCAAGGCATGTGAGGGGGTGGAGGAAGAAAGGGGAGAGTAAATCAGACGACATAACATTGCTTGAGAGTTGAGAGCAGAAAAGGAAGTGAAAGGAGAAAATTTAGAGAAGAAATATTTCCGTCGCTATCCGGATTCGAACCTGGGACCTATTGAATGAGAGGCGAACGAGGGCTCCCTGGTGTCAGTTCAATAAGACACTCACAAACTGATCTTAAAGACTAGCTTCGAAAACGTGAAACTGTACTCGTAAAAACTATGTAAATGTATCTTCTTTCGAAGGTTAAAGGCGGGCTTTTTCTAGGCAAGCAATTTCCAAGTCTTTTAAAAAGCATATTATTTTTATTCATATCTGCCTCTGATGCATTTGCTCCAAGCCTTCGCGAAGCTTCATTCAAATAAACTTAGCTTCCCTTAAATCTTATAGAATGTGCAGCAACTCCCATAGGCCCTTAGGATCTTGCCTTCGTGTCTCCTTCCATGAGAACCCTTCCCCTGTAATGATCTCAATGTGTCGAAAATGTCAAGAGATTCGTGTCATCAACAAACCAAAGCATAGCCATTTCCAGAGTTATACCCCAGAGATGATTAAACAAAAACGTGGCTTGGCAAATAGACTTTTAATATAATGAAGTTTGCCAGAGAAGTCGGGGTTGCGCAGTACGGCAAATGATAATAATAATTGTGATTACTGAAAACGAAAACGAAGATTGCAGAATAATAATTCCAAGAAAGGAAAAGAAGCCAGAGTTGAACATGAGTATTTGGGAAGAAAGAAAGAAAAACGAACAAAAACCCACAGCTATGAAAATTGAGCTGCCTACTCTGTGTGGTTCTCTTTTGTTGTGTATTTTTTTTTTAAGTTCATCATAAGATTGATGAAGGAAGGCACGGGAGGTGACAGGTAAATACATGTATTATGTTTCTAGGAAAGTTTGTGAACGGGAGGATGGCAAGGATGCTTTGAGTTTATGAATCCAGGTTGTTGGTATTGTAAAGGAAAAAGCAACAACTTTGAGTTCGAAACTATGTGTTTAGTTGGTGATGGAACCTGTCAACTTGAAACGTCAACAAAAAAGAGGAAAAGAAGTAAGGGGGTAGGGGAGGGTGGCTTGGGTTGGAAGATAGGGGGAGGGGGG